AGAACATTCTCTGAAGATTTTATGCTATCTGAGAGGTATAACTAGACGTCCCGTCTTTTCACCCTGTCTCAAATTTTTTCGAGTACTATTCGGGACACCGATTTGTCATCATTTTCAATGATTGTCAAATAATTTTCGGATCTTTTTACCCCTCCCTCCACTCCCCGCTTCACACATTTATGAAGTGTCCCGAATTCAAGGCTGGGAAATCTAGTTACCTTACATATACCGCGAGGAGAAACGAGAAGATTACTTACAAATGACGTCTTCACGATATGCTCCGACGATCGTACATCGCTATTCTCGACACTCCCGCTACTTATTTCCGCGCGAGACTTTCGACGGATTAAAGACGCGTAAAATGCAGAGCGATGTCGATCGATGTGTCCACGGCGGTTGGATACAGAAAGATCGAGAATCAAGATAGTCGCGCGATTGTTGAATCGCGCTAAAAATATACGCTAATATATGAACGACGCCGCAGCCGAAAAGAACGCGCTCTATGAGATACTTCTCTCTCCGTAACTCTTTTCCTAACAAGCTGACGCAACCGCCCGAATATTCCGCATCTCTCTCTCTTTCTCTCTGATTGTCATCGCATTTCTAATTTCCGTTCAATAAATCTGACGATCGCCCGATTCTATTGCTACTTGAGCGAGTCGATGTTATTAGCAAATGTAAGGGACGTCGACGCGACACAAGCACTGATCGCATATACCGCGAGGAGATACGAGAAGATTACTTACAAATGACGTCTTCACGATACGCCCTGACGATCGCACATCACTATTCTCGACACTCCCGAGACTTATTAACGCGCGAGACGCACTTTCGACGAATAAAAGACACGAGAAACGCGGAGCGACGTGGATCGATGTGTGCCCATGGCTGCTGCTTGGCGCGAAAAGATCGAGCATTTCGCGCGATTCATTACCAACGCCTAGATTGAACAACCACGATGACAACCTCGTAGTGCGAAACGAACGCGATTGGTCAAGGCGTCCGCCGTCCGTCGTTGTAGACGCGCGACCTCGTTCGCATCACTGGCGCGTTCACATTTATGCACTTTAGGTATTTTCGGCGCCCTAATGAACTTTCGGTGTACATGATTGACAGTGCGCGCGTCTGCGGACTTTTCATGTCGAGCAACAACGTGTTCATGCCATGAACACAACGTCCCGTATTCCATACGTCTTTCGCTTATGTCTTGTGAGTCTCCTGCGGAAATAAGTATTAAACCTGATCTACAATGTGTTCTTTGCTTCCTGTTTCTTGTTTTCTGTCTTTTTTTAGTTTAAGGTTTAAGACTTGTCAGAAAGAGATAAAGAAAAAGTAACAGGAAGCAAATAACACATTATAGATCAAGCTTTAGAGTGCCGAAAACAACGACGTGCGGTCGCTAGGACATATTATAAGTATATTATTACGGAGTAATCTCCCTTTTCGACACATACAGTTAAGGTGACCAGACGTCCCGATTTTTCACTTTTTGTCCCGAAGTTTTTCGAGTGCTATTCGGGACACCAATTTGTCATCATTTTCAATGATTGTAAAATAATTTTCGGATCTTTTTATTCCTCTCTCTCCGCTTCACACATTTATGAAGTGTCCCGAATTCAGGACTGGGAAATCTGGTCACCTTACGTAAAATGTATTTGCGCCACGAGTGACGTACAGAAGTCGTAGTATGAGCGTGGTAAAGCTGAAAGTGTTAGTCACATTGCGGTAAAGCAGGAAGCCGTACGAAAGAGCAAAATTGCGAGTAGACGATATCGAAATATTAAGCTTGACGTTACGTCATTTGAATTTTGGAAATTTCCAGAAAATAAATTCATCTCGCAATTTATCAGAGTTGGCAGTTTGATGAAAATCTGCATGTAGTAATCCGAAAATACCGTTAATCCCTTCGACCGTAAAGTTCGATAGAACGTCATCTTTTTTTTCGTGATCTCTCGATTGTAATTCGAAAACTATTCCTCAACATTAAATTACACGTCATTCTTCTCACATTGGTCTTCAGCGTTCATGGTTTTGAGTTTTCAATAGATAGCGAGTTGCAGCGTTCCATTGGAAATCGACTGATGGCCAGCCGTCGTTGGATGGCATTGCGATCCGATTGATTCTCGTATATCCGCCAGGCGTTACGAGCGCTATGCGAATGCGATACAATAGGCGAGGTCGAAGGTCGAAACCTTTCCGCGTCGAAATGAATCGCTATCAAAGCCCGAAGTGCCTCTCATATATCGGCAGAATATCGTGCAATAATTTTTGAGAAATTGCCTTGTTGTCCGACAGCACCGTGTTTCTAACTCGTAAATCGTCGATATAACCGCGCGAATACAAATGCCCGAGTATTCGGTGGTCATTCCTGTCAGAATATCACTTAGAGAATCTTACGACGACTCGTTAAGAGAAATGTGTCGCCTAAGGAGTAACGTAGAGTTGTGAAGTATCTCTAATGACTCTGCCCGATAGATTTTGACCTTTTTCTTTTTACTACACGAATACGAATAGTCATTTCTAGTATTTTTAGCCGCTGCACGAATTCGTCCAAACTTGTCCATCGTCATAATTTTAAGATAAAATTGTCCATGTGTCATAATTTTGAGAAAAACGAGGTAAAAGAAACAAATAACAACGATATTGAGGAACTTCGTGACATTGCAACAGTGGTATACAATTTTCTTTCTAAATTTTATTAAGACTGTGTGAAAGTATGAACTTTAAGCTTTATAATGCGTTCAGTTTCATTCCCGTACGATTTTTCGTCTGTGAGAGATAGCTACTTAAAAATAGCCCTTTTCTCACGTAATAAATGAAAAAAATATTTGATTCTTTTTTAATATACTTTATACTATTTTAATATACTATTTTAATATACTATTATATGTAAAGTAAGTGCTTTTTCTGTACATACATAATATAATGAAGAAAAACTAAGTGGGAAGCAATAATATTAACAATTTTATACACGCGTTTGTCTAATTATGAATAACATAGTTTGCATTATAGACAAACGCATCTGCGAAATTGCTGAAGTTATTGCTCTTTTATCTTATTATTTATATTTTATTGTAGTTAGTGATTGCAATCGGGTGATTTGAATAACAGATATTTAATAATGAATATTCTTCTGTATGATTTTGTTTCATCAAAATTATTGTTAATTGATTTAATTGTAAGATGATAGAACACGCGCTCATTTGTTTTCGACCTGATCGTTTATTGACATGTGTATGCTATCTTTTAGAAAGCCATAACCGCAAACAGGATATTATCATCATTGTAAATTTGCCGATCGAGTTTGTGTGATATTTTTGACTTGCGAGTCACTAAATTTTGTGCCAACGGAAGCATCGGCTCTGGCGGCGCAATCGATCTCTGTTCCCGCTATTAAATTTTTCGCGAGAGCGTGTTATAACACTCGCGGCGTTTCTCCTTCCTCTCGATTATTTTCATCGCCGATAATAATTTTTTCCGTTGAAGCAGAGCGAGCGTCAACGCGGAAAAACTCGTTAGCTATCCAATGGCTGTTACGTCAGCGTTATTTACAATCGACATTGCGGCTGTGATAAATTAAATTCGCAAACGCAAACTACACTATGAAAAATTATATCGTCCAAGTATCACGTATAAAATTCTGACTATATATCATGAAAAATATAACGTTGTGAGATTTATCGTTAACTGAAAAATATCGAAAAGATCATACATCGAATGTCTCATTTGTACGAAATCGCCTGTAACTATTGACCGATCGATACCATTCGCGCGCGCGTATTATTTACTTAACGTCCGACAAAAATAATCCGTCATAAAAAAAACTGTTATAATTGCTGCAACTCTCTATAGTTATAAAAAAGATTTATATTAAACAGATATTGTGTTAAGAAAATTACTGTTGTCATATGCTCATCTATATAGTTTTCAGAGCTACAATTTTTATAATATGTAATGTTCAATTAGTATATCCTCATATAAGTTATCCTAACTGAAAGAATATTGCTCCCCTCCTCTCTCTCTCTCTCTCTCTGTCTCTCTCCCTCTCTCTTTCTCTCTCCCTCTCTTCCTTTCTCTCTCTTGTGGTCTGTAAAACAAATATTATGGTTGAGAGATCTCTCTGTAGGGTTTAGTTGCATCATACAGTACTGAAAATTCCGCTCAAACACGTATAGACAGGCAGCAAAGAAAGCCAGTGTACCACCTCCAGAGTACTGTGGTTTCTACAACCCTTTCGTGTGCATGAGCGAAAAAAATATTAGTATTTTGTTACGGTAGCCATATTAAGCTAAGTAATATAGCTAAAACAAAGTGTTTCTCTGAACTCGCAGTGAATTTTTATTTTTCACGTTAAACCAACCTTGAAACCCTATTGTTAGTATCATTATCAATTAATCCTCCAATATCCCCTCATAATTATTTGCATTATGAATTTCTTGATTCGTTTTTAACTTACTTATGTTTAGGGGTTTACGTAATTTTTTAATGTTCAGAATTACATGAGATTACAAGGATAAATATTCTTATGAAATTTATCCATCAAAACACGCAAAGAGCTAAATAATATAACGTATTATATTATATTCTATTATATTATATTATATTATGCGGCGAAGCTCTATATAACATGGTAATAAGAAAGTGGTAATAAGAAACTTCTGTGTACATAAACACACTGAACCCCGAGTTAGGCACGACGCACGTTGCCGCAAGATAATATTAGAGCAACTCGGGAAGTTCCCTAAAGGAAACGCAGCGAGAGGGCGATACTGTAAGGCCGTGGGTGGAGGGATTGTCGGGGAATTTGAGAACGTGCTCTCATCCCGGTCAAATTAGGAAATTGCTCTCCTCTGTATTGCCGCAGCATCCAACGTAAATTAGAATGCTGCGGTGACGCGGGCACAGTGCGAGTACGCGCTATATTACCGGCATTAGTGTGCCGAACGCGGTCGCAACTGGTTAGATCCAATTTAATGTTCCGCTTGCTCCTTGGGTTTCAGATCTGGACACGATGCTGTACGGATACACGAACAGTATATACGTGCTGGACCACACGCCTGAGTCCCTGCCGGTGAGTATAATTCGGCGCGTAATGAGCCAGTTAGGCGCAGCTGTTATTGCGACCGGCGGCGGCTCGAAGACGCCTCCATCCATAAATCCTCGCGGTTGTGACCGCACGAGACCGCCGTGCATTGTCCATTTGGCGAATCTCGCATTACGCTGATCGTACAACTTCACTTATATCTGCGCGCATTGGCGCAATAATAAATCGGGATAAACCTCGCGAAATATATATTGTATTATTTGACAACTGGACTGTAAGTTCCGCGTAACGCGACGAGCGTATTACCTTTTGGCCGAATGGTTTGCTTGCTTTAGTACGACTGTTTCAGCTTAACTTAAGTCGCGCACATATTTGAGGAGAATTAATTCGGCAGACAGATAACGCGCGCGCGCGCGCGCGCACGTCCTCGAACGCACACACGTACAAGCCATTGTCAACATACGCGATGCAATGTGTAATCCGACTGTTAGCCGCAAACGTTGCCGCATAACGCACCGTTGCCTGATAGTCATTTACGGTAACAGTTATCGTCGTAATCTCGTAGAGGGCCGTAGTCAAAGTGACATACAGAGACTAGATAATAGTGTGTACATATATACGAATGATATCGAGGCGCACTAATACCGCCATAATACTCCCGTCCAATCGCGACGTAACGCAACGAAAATTGATTGTTTAGATATTATAATTTCCGCATGCATGTTTCGAGAATTATCTAGAGAGTCCCGCGTGACTCTCGTCCACGCAAAATAAGCAATTAGTCCGTCTCCATTGCAGCGCGCGTTTCGGCGATAACCGATTCCCGATTGGACTCATCAATTATTAGCACAATCGCATGGTCGACGTTGCGCTGTGCTATGGATAATAATGCGCGGACTTCAATCGCAATAACCGATTTACCGAGCACTCGTGATGTAATTAAACAAACAAGCGTGTGACTGTAATTTGCGCGAATCGCATAAGATCTCGCCGGGAAACGTTAGTAACGGCGTTTAATTACGATTTTACTCCTGTATTTTAATTAAATTACGAGAGGAGAGAGAGAGAGAGAGGAGAGAGAGAGGGAGATTTTGTTACCAATTAAATTAAAATTGGTGAGCCTCAATGTCCCGCTAAAATTACTCGCGTCTATCAATACATGATAAATAATCGCGAAACTCGTGTACGTGTCTCTTTGTCGACGAGTGATTATCAATATTGTGTGTTTGTTGCAGAATAATTTGCGCATACAAAATGTGTAGAATATACAGATCCGCTTAGATATCCATTAGATGACTTTACGCACGTACTTGATAATATTATAATCGCGGCAATGCATATGAAACCAGAATTATTGCGCCGAGTAACATAATACATAATTCATTGCAATTATAAATCATTTGCATTATTAGTATTGAACGAGAGTGCATACTGTTGGTAGTGAAGGCTTTTACGTTGATTTATATAATGAATCGAATTAATAACACGACATGATACAAATAGGATATCTCATACATATATACTTTGTCAGATATTATCCTGTATAAATCAAATCATTATCGTATGAAAAATGCGCTTACGCGTGTAATATACAGGACGCGACTCACGCACATCCGCTCGTATGCAGCCATAGAACTCATCAAACTGAAAGAAAAAGTTCCTTACCGATTTGCAAACATTCACATAGATTTTTTAGTTATTAGTAAAAGTTATTAGTTAAAGAGTTAATTATTAGTTAAAATTATTAGTTAAAGAAAATTGCAATGATCGCGAAATAATATCTTCTAAAATATTTTAATAAAAGAGCATATTACATGATTGTACAGAAGAACAAATGGGAAAGTGATTATATGCACAACTTTTATCGATAAGCATAATGAGAAATAAAATAAGACGCATTTCTTTATTTTAAATCCTATTTGTTCAAACGATCCAAGTTTCTTTCTTTACAGAAAAGTATAAATAATTAAAAATTTAATAATGTTAACACTTTTGCTACCAATTTTGTTTGTTAAAGGTTAAATTTATTTTTTTACTTTCACTTTGTTAAATATATTAGAAATAATGTAGTTTTAGCAAAGAAATTAATGCTGCAATTCTAAGCAGAATTGTAAGTCTCGTAACTTGTTCTCGTACAATTTGTCAGAACTTATGGGTAGATTTACAAGTCTATGCAATATTATATGTTGTACAATTACTCGTAAATATCTACGATTTCATATCATTTACGATATTTAAAAGTGATTATACGACATATGATATTGCGTAGACTTTTAAATCTACTCATAAGTTCTGGTAAATTTTATGAAAACAAATTACGAGACTTACGATTCTGCTTAGAATTGCAGCATAAGTCTTATTTTTGACGCCAAAAGGATAAGACCGAGATATTGATGTCCCGCTGAGGTTTCTAGGAAGACATATTTGTCTCAACGGCAAAAAGTAGAGAAATATCTGATGTGTTCTGAATACCAGAAAAGCTGTTTATTTAGGGTTATTATTAATGGCGAGAAAATAATGGTATGTCTTCGCACGCAGATGTCTCGTTGGTAGCGAACGGTGTTGGAAACATCTCCTTTAGGGCCGGTTGCTCCAATTTCTTGGTAAATTAATTGATAATTAAATCATATGTCTGTCTTTGTTTAAATTGAAAGAAAAACAAAGACAGATATATGATTTAACTATTAGGTAACTTATCAAAAGATTGGAACAATCGATCCTTAGAGGTATTGAAGTAGACATTCCACTTGCTTGATATTATATGTTCGGGTAAGAATTAGGGTGAACAAGTATGGCATAAGATTTAAAGTAAAGAAACGCATCTTATTTTATTTCTCATTATGTTCATCGACAAAAGTTGTGCATGTAATCACCTTCCCATTTTGTTCTTCTGTACAATCATGTAATATGCTCTTTTATTAAAATATTTTAGAAGATACTATTTCGCGATTATTGCAATCTTCTTTAACTAATAACTCAGAAATCTATGTGAATGTTTGCAGATCGGTAAGGAACATTTTCTTTCAGTTTGATGAGTCCTATAGCTGTACACGAGCGGATATGCGTGAGTCGCGTCCTGTACATATTACACGCGTAAGAATTCGCCCACAATAAGCTTGAATTTTGAGATGTAAAGGAGAGAAAAGTGGCAAAGAGCGCGCATTTGGACCTTTTTCTCCATCAGTGATGGAGAATCGGGGCTCGTCGCGATCGATATAGAATCACCGCCACGAATCACCCCAGGATTCTAAACCGTTTAATCGCGCAGACACAGATATCGATGCGTATAGCATCGTTAAAACATTTATACGCCATTTCGTGGCGCGTTGTGTACGTCCCTCGCGGAAATGATCGTCATAATAATTGCCGCGGGAACAATGCCTATATCGTAATTGTACACGAACAGTGCATGCATTCACAAACGTGTAAACTGATACAAACTCGGACGGGCGGTGCCGCAGACCGATGTGTATTACTATTCGGATAATCTATCGGTGATAGTAACGTCATTTAACAATACATGCGGGAATGCCCTGCAGATGTTGCAAAGGATTGGCTGAATATGCTTCACGAAGGGGTAATTAATGTAGGGAGCGGACACGGGAATGGCTCGCATTTCGGTCCCGATGAAAGTGCACTCGTTCGAATCCACCCACTAGCTTCGGCAATTTCGCTGCGTTAATGTGAAATCGCGACGATGCGACGGGAATATAGCATTTGTCGGAGAATTCCTACAATTATTATCGGGCGTACGCGGCGCCGAAGAGAAAGGCGGAATTCGCGCGACTTGTGGCATGCGCCGTTCGCATTCGACGTGATTTTTCCGCAGCGCCTATCAAAGCGCAGAGAAACGCATTAATTAAGCAAATGTCGTCTGTGTCAATTAATGTTCTTTTTCGCGCACCGTTGCACCCGTAACTTTCGTACGCGGCTTTTGCGCGTTTCGCGGAAATGCATCGAAACGTTCCATTTCCATTTATTTTGTGTGTGTGTGTGTGTGTGTGTGTATGTGTGTGTGTATCGCGAGTGCACACTCGCGCCAAATTATTTCGCGTTATTAAGAAAAAAATGAAAAATAAAATTGCGGTGCATGTCCCTGTGCACTTTATTCTTGACGGATTATTGCAACATCAAACCAAGTTCTGCACAAACCAAAGTCGCAAGGCGATTCTAATCAATCTATAATCTCACCTACGGACCAGTTCCATGGATTATCGCCGATGATTCAGCGGAAACGAGGATGCGCGAAATAATATCTCCGGGGGTGGCGCGCGCGTGACAATTATCGCTGTCGCGAGACACAAAGAAGCCGGATTATCGCCGCGGGTGAAATGCGTGCGTGCGAGCGTGAAACGGCACGGGCTTAATAAAGATCCCCGGTTTCAATAAAAACGGATTTGCCACGCGCGAACTCCGTTAATTTAGCCGCATAAGCGCGCGATGCCATCCCCGTGGTATTAATCCTCGGTTAAACATCCCTGGCGAACAGCGTTCTCCCATTACGCGCCCATCGGCACGATGAAACGGACGTAATTATCTTGTTTCGCGAATCGTCCTGCGCGCGCGCATGTATGTGTGTGTGTGTGTGCGTGTCCGTCTGCCGCACGTTACTGCCGGCTGACGTAGCCCTGCTCTCGCTATCGAAAGTTTCCCACCGCCATCGTCGGCATTAATTAACTTAATTAGCTGCCGAACGAGTGGCTTCTCTTCATTAGCGGCGTCCGCTTCTCGTCGATGGTTTCTATTGACAATGGGGTTACAAGAGGGATTAATGACATGGATGGGGGTGAACACACTTCGAGTTATCCTGTGTTTCCGCGAACACGGGCAATGCAGCCGGATACGTTATCGTCGATCCTCCGCTTAAATGATGAACGATAATTCCGAAGGAAGGGCCCGGGGAAAGCCGATCCACAAGCTGACACGACGAGCATTTGCTATTTAATGATGCTGGACCGCGTCGCGCGCGGAGAATATCTAATAGTGACGTAGAGGTCGGATTAAACCACGAGATAACGCGGCTTTCA